TTCCCACAGTAGGATACTAATTAATCCTTGAACCACCTTGTTAAAAGTATTAGATGTAAATTCACCATTGTGATTTTGATTAGAAAAAAAAAATAAATTGAAACCAAAGCAGTCTAAACATTCAACTCTGGCTGACTCCTCTGAAAAAGCCTAAAGCAACTTCAGAAAAAAGGTGTCTTCAAGCAATCTGGATCCTTTCGTTAAAGCAATGGTTCATGTTTCTTTATTTTCTTCTCCAAAAGATAAAGCTGTTCAAATGCAGCACCCAGGCACATCGTGGCATTCACGTCCCCAGTGGTAGACACTTGTAAAGCCCAACTCTCTCCTCCTACAGCAAAGAGAACCTAGAGTGAACACCTCAGATGGAGAAGGCTACACTGCCAGCCCCTGCCTTTGACTTGAAGAACGCTATCTAAATTATAGTGTGGTTTCTTCAACTGAGAGGACACATATAAAACAGACACACTGCTTCTCTATGCAGAAAACTTAAGCCTGCCACATTCTCCATATTCACGGCAATGCTATCCTGCCTTAACACTCCTGTCAGTGACACAAAATACACATGTACACTATAAATACACACACACTTCGCACCAAGTGCTTGTTTTCTGCTGAAGCACGAAAAGACTTCCTAATATACTTGTAACTGCAACAGTTAAAAAACCAAAAAGACCCTTCCATCCCTCCAACCAGTAAGTTACTTATGCCTTATCTTCTGTTACACACAACGATGAAGAAAGAAATCCACACTGAGTCACTAAAGCCCACTTCAGTTTTCCCAACATTATTCTTTGTCACAAACACCACATCTTGATTTTGAGCCACACTTGAGATCAGGAACTGAAACACAATGAATATGAGAAGGCATCAGCTTGGGCCATCCTCCTCATGCATCCTCAATATCTGAACTGTCTTGTAAGTAACCTTAACATTTACTTTAAAAAGCATGTGAGTACCTCTGACCAGCTGCATTACCATTTTTGAAGCAAAACAAAGCCATACTGTTCAATTCTCTCATTCCTAGAGCTCCCTCATTAAACAAAACAAGCAATAACAAAAGCCAAAAATCTGAAAGTGATCCTTTACTTAAGAGCAGTACTTCACCAGACAAGAGAAGTGTATTATCCCAGACAGCCAAGAAGCTTTGCTTCCAATAATGGGTAATAGAAGTCCCCTGCTAACTACTGTAATAAACTCATCCAGCTTCATATACTGAGACTGACTTTGTTTTCCTTTCCCCAAGTCAGGTAAAAAATTTCAGATAAATTATGCACTCTGTATTTGCACCCATTTAACCACCATATCCCAACTCATCAAAAGCAAAGTTCCACAACTGTCGCATGAAGTCCTTACAAAACATCTAAGTAGACAATACCTCAAGGGTATCAGAAAAAAAAGTGCAAGTGCAAATTAGTACAATTACATCTGCAATACTAAAGGCCCCCTCCTTCCCCAGAACAATGTGGATCTTTGTTCTCATACAATGACGTATGCTTTAAGAATTCAGGGACTGCAATTATCTAAATGCCTTTGTTTACAGTTCATTGATGACTGTTCAAGTCTTTTTTTTTTAATCATGAAGAGTATTTTTTTTCCCTTCTCACTTGATAAAACTCTTGTCTCCCACAGTGTCTGCAGAATGAAAAAGACACAATGTAATAAATAACTGGCCAAAACACAAAAATAAGACAAAAGAACACCCTGAAAGTTATGACTACTAAAAGATTCTGCATCTTATTTGCGTAAATCCAATTGGACATTATATCACAACAAACCTTCAGCTGTCAACATACAAGCAATTTTTATCAAATGGAGCCTAGTAGTTCTCTATACTTAATGCATAAGATAAGATTTTAACTTTAACTGTAGGTCATTTATTTGTTTCATTGACTTGCTATCTCAATTTAGTCATCTGAAACTTTTATTCTTGGAAGAGTTTAGGTTTCTGCAGTATCTGAATAAAAATTTATTTTGTTAGAAGTCATCACCTAAAGCACACACAGAAAACACAAACAATAATTAAATCACAATTACTCACCTGCATGAGCTCATTGCTGTCAATCAGACTGTCCTCCAGCATCTCCTGGGTCAGCTTGCCCATGGTACTGTAAAACTCATCTGCAGTTTCACAACACTCTATTTGCCTACATCAAAATGATACGTTGGTTTTTAATTTTACTTTTACACGTGATTATACACCTCCAAACCAAAACTGAACTTTCTGTCTTCATAAAATATGATGACAGACCATAAAGTTTTCTCAAAAACAGAGCATAAAGATTTCTTGGCTGCCTCATCACTCATTCTTCACTATGCACCAAACAGCTGAATTCACTGGTTGAACTGTCTTTTTGTCAAACAGGAACATATTCGCTGGCCAGAAAACATTCTGATGGAGTACATTAAGTATAGGTGTATTTATATTTGGCACTGTGTTTGAAAGAGCTGAGCTCACAGAACACAGAATGAAGGAAAAATTCACTTATATCCTGCATATTTGTGAATGTTATTTCTAAATTAGACTGTTTTGGAAGTTTTTGTTTTGTTGATTTTTTGTTTGCTTATTTTGGTTTTTTTCTGTTTTTTTTTTTAAATCCACATTTCAATTTAAATTTCTAAAAATACATATTCATCCACTGTGTGTCAGCTAGAAGAAGAGAAATATGAGTTATATGATTTTGTAAGTTGCTGTTCTACCTACATTAGGGTCAGCAGAACTACCATCCTTTCCCATCAAGTGGAACATGTGTTTAACTTCTAGCCCCAAAAAGTGTAATGCTGGCTACATACTGCAGCCTTCCCTGTAAAATACAGCTGCTGAAACTATCAAAAAAGTACACAGCCTGTTTCCTTAAGGATTAGAAGAAGCAGCTTCCCTTGATCTTCAGTGTCTATAGGACACAACCACTGAACTACAAAAGTCCTACTGAAAACAGTTTTGCTAAAAGAATTATTAAGTAGTAAAAGAAAAAAAAAAAAAGAGGTAGAAACAATGGATACGCTGCAAGTTATCACAAACTTACTGCTTACCTTCCCTGATACCTTCAGTCTCTCGTGACCTCCACATACTGCCTTCTCTACTGCACCTATTTTCAACCTCCCCATTCCTAAAGTCTCCATCAAAACAGAAGTATGACTGAGCTGCCCATGTTTTAGGAAAAGCACTTCTCACCCCACTTTCATGTCTAGAAAGACAGTCTTGAAAAGTATGAAGCTCACAAGACTCTGATCACTGCTTCAGGCATCACTTTAAATCCCCCTCACTCTATTACTAGCAGAGAAGAGAGGAACAAAATCACAGCCCGAAAAGTATGAAGCTCACGAGACTCTGATCACTGCCCCCCACTCTATTTCTAGCAGAGAAGAGAGGAACAAAATCACAGCCTTTTCCCAGCAAAAACATAGCACCCGATCTTTTACTTCCTCATCTCATTTGATATCATTAATCACAAGCTTACTGAATTTCAATTCTTGTTCTATTTTAGTGACTCAGTGTCTTCTGGATCTCTAGTTATCCCTCCAGTATCTCTTCCTGTTAATTGCCCCCAAATCTGCCAGATCTTCTCCTACTCCCCACAAACAACAGTTACAAGGTGTGCAGTGTGATCAGCTTATTCTTTTGGACATATTCTTACAGATTTCTTCATTCTGTTCCTTTCAATTTTTATAAAACATGTTTCATTTTTGCTTTTAAGTTTTACAGTAAAATTGTCAAAGCAGTGACTTCCTTTTTTATCATGTTATGAGTTAGAACATTTTTAATTACAGCTTTTGAGTGCACAGAGACCCACTGCAATAGGACCTTTTATGTAAAGGCATGGTACAAAGTACATATAGCTTAATCCTAACATAAATTATTCATGTAAGTTTCATTCATGAACTGAACAAATAAAGCTCTTAGGGAGTTATTATTCTAATTGTTATTCTTCAGATTAAAAATTAAAGATACTAAACAAAGTCTCACACAATGCCCCTGGCCTGCAGCGCTAATTTATTCAGAAAGAAAAAAGAAATTAAACCTCCAAGGACAGAGCTGAACATAAATCCCAGTGGTTCTGTCTCAGGGAAAAAAAGGAAGGTTTGGGTTGACAAGCATCACAAGAAAAATTTGATGCAGCTGCTGTCACCAGCTGAAAAAAGTTTCCAGCTGAACTAACATCTTTTCAACCTGTCAGAGCTCACACCTCCCACTGAAGTCAGTGAAAAAACTCATTTCTCCAGGAGCACTGTACACTCTTTGGAATGCAAATATTTGCTATGACAACAGAGGAGCTCAGAAGAACTAACCATCTATTGTGTTTTGTCCTCATAGGTGAGTTTCCAAGGCCAAAAAGGACTATAATAGAGCCTTGGCTAGAATGTGCTTAAAGTAGAGAATTTCAGGAAAATTTGTTTGCAAGCCTTAACAGAACAGAACAGTGTAACACTAAATCATACTCTTAGTAACACTGAACTCTTTTCTTGGGTATAGCCAATGGGCTCAAATCCTTAAGTCTCCTTAAGTGAAAATAAGGGGATTAATATCCCCAGCCCCAGGTACGCAACTGCATTAGCTAGTTAGCCTCAAGTCATAGAATCATAGAATGGTTTGGATTGGAAGGGCCCTTAAAGATCATCTCCTTCCAACGTCCCTGCCATCAGCAGGGACACCTTCCACTAGACCAGGCTGCTCAAAGCCTCATCCAGCCTGGCCTTAAACACTTCCAGGGAGGGGGCATCCACAACTTCCGTGGGCAACCTGTTCCAGTGTCTGACCACCCTCACAGTGAAGAACTTCTTCCTAATATCTAATCTAAACCTCCCCTCTTTCAGTTTAAACCCATTTCCCCTTGTCTTGTCATTAGTTGCCCTTATGAAAAGTCCCTCCCCAGCTTTCTTGTAGGCCCCCTTCAGGTATTGGAAGGCCGCTATAAGATCTCCCCGGAGCCTTCTCTTCTCCAGGCTGAACAGCCCCAACTCTCTCAGCCTGTCTTCATAGGAGAGGTGCTCCAGCCCTCGGATCATCCTGGTGGCCCTCCTCTGGACTCGTTCTAACTGGTCCATGTCCTTCTTGTGTTGGGGGCTCCAGAACTGGACGCAGTACTCCAGGTGGGGCCTTACAAGAGCGGAGTAGAGGGGCAGAATCACCTCCCTCCACCTGCTGGACACGCTTCTCTTGATGCAGCCCAGGATACGGTTATTGGCCTTCTGGGCTGCAAGCGCACATTGTCTGCTCGTGTTCAGCTTCTAAGTCCCTCTGCATGTCTTCCCACCTCAGCTCCTTCAGAGGTCTATGCTCTGGAAACTCTAACCAACCTTTTAGCATAGCACAAAGACTTTCTACACAGACAATGCAAACAACTGGAGAGGAGACATTTCCTGCAGCAAGCATCAAGTCGTTATCACGCCCATTCTGACATGATGTCAGAAGCACATGTTTTTGGGGAATCCATAGAGGCACTTTGTGCAGCTTTTTCAATGCAGAATCACTCTCCGGAAAGATCACATCTTGTTTAGTATGGAGAACACACTCTTCGGAACACTGTAAGTTACATGCATTGCTCATACTGAAAATCAAATCAGATTAAAATGACCACTTACTCTCCTAACTTTGCCCAGATAGCCAAAGCTACTCTCAGTATAATTTCGGAGCCTTCAAAGAATACTGAATCCCAGATCTTCAGAACCGTATGGTTAGGCAGGCAAGTGGCAAAGAGGGTCAGAAACCACTGCATTGTGAAGACATTTGTAAGTGGGGGTTCATAGCCTCCTGAAATTAAAAAAAAAAAAAAAAAAAGCTTAAAGTAATAGTAATCTACTATTATTTTTCCAAGGAGTTTAAACTGCATCCTGAAATCCACCAGACATTCTAGTACCTTTGTTATTGCTCAGAACTTACTTAGCCTGCAGCTGTCCAAAGATAAGCTGAGAAAAAGAGTGATGGAAAAATGACATACTTAGTTATTTTTCATTCTACTGCACTGCAAAAAAACTCTTAAGCAGCAGCATTGGTTTTGGACTGGAAACTTTGGAAAACACCACCACACTTATTGCTTTTCCTTCCCCAAAGCTGTATGAGCTAAAAGCTTTCCTTAAAAAAAAAAAGTACTGCATTTCTGCAGAAACTGATGGCATAAGAAGCCTTTATCTACATGAAGGTGAAGGTGACTGTCTCTGTAAAGTCTTATCTATTGTTTTAAAATCCTGATATACTGCCAGCTTAGCAGAAGAAACTGTAACACATTCGATTTTCTTTTTGCTTTTTAAGTTTCAACCAAGATTTAGTATTTCGTCCTGAAACTCTGAAGTTTTACTTTCTTGTTATGCTCAGAGAACACTTTGTGCATCCTAGTATCAACTGATATACTGAAGGCCATGACCAAAGAGGCTGCCGCCTGTGAAAATGTTTTCAAACAGCAAATAGTTCCTCGATACCCTTTCTTTGTTTTTATACAGTCACAGTTTATTTATGTGTAACATGGTAGCAGATCGTTTCTAAGATGGAACTCAGGGTGCATTTAGCTTTCAAACTGAAAAAAAAACCCCAACCAACCAATAACAAAAACCCCACCGTCCCCAAAACACTCCCAAATAAAAGAACTCTATTTTGTTTAAATAAATAAGAAGTCTGGAGTGAATGCTACACCAGGGGAAAAAAAATTAAAAAAAAAACCTAAAAATCACAGTGCAAAGCCAGTTTTCAGGTAGCAACCCAAGAAGTACTTCTGAGTTTTGCACCTGCATATTGCTAAGCATGAAATACTAACAGGCATCACTGGCTCTCACATGGTAACTCTTCCCAGAACAGCCATGTAAGTGAGCAACTAGAAGCAGCAATGGTAGGACAGGTATCTCGAGCCAAGGCAAGAAATGACCTTGTACTAAGCTAAGCTGTGTGTTAGTGTTGTCACTCCACACATTTTATGTCCTTGCCAACATGATTCTTTTTGTAGTTAAAGGTGTGACCAAATTATTTCCCCTTTATTTTTTCCTGAGAGAGCCACCTATTTGTACCTAAGGGTATTAATAACAGAAACTGTCATCTTTCACTTTAACAATTTAAAATATATATTCTAAGCAATAAACTCAAGTAAACACCTGAAAGACTGTATTTTTTGGCCAGTGCTCAGACAAAACAATAGCAAAAAGGAATTAAATAGCATTTTCTGTTGAACTTACCTCCACTTTCTCTGTTAGCAGCTCTTTGCAGGGTGTCTAAGTGTTGGGACAGTTCAGGAAGCTTCATTCGTAAAAGATCTCGGAAAACAGCCATATCCACAGAGAGAGCACGGAGATTATTGACAAAATAGCTATCAGGAAGCACCTTATCAATCAGGTAAATCATGATCTGTGGGGAAAATGAACTACAATCACGTACAAAGAACTTACAAAGTCAGTTATTTTCTAGGAATACCAGGAAAAAATAGAGAATTTTAAAGCTCTCTGTTCACTAAAGAATGACTTGGAGTCAGTGGCAACATATGCCTCTGGTGTGTCTATTTATATGGGGAGAAAACATTACCACTTTAAGTATCCATGGGTACTCTAGGTACCCATAAGCAATCAAAGTGCAAAGGCCTCTTGAAGCTGTCCAGAATTTGTGAACCACCAACAACCAAAATCAATGTCACAGCAGGCCATGCACAAATTGGAAGCATTACTGAAACCAAAGGCAACTTTTGGCACTTCTGATGCTGTATGTGTGTATGAGATTCTCCACACTACTGGAAAGTTCCCCTACCCCTTCTCCGGTTGTTAACTGCTAACAAACAGAGGGTGGATCTTCCAAATCATTTTTTTTCCCCTCTCCAAAATGGAAGATGCTGTTCTGTAAAAAACCATATTTTACTGTGATGCGTTACCATGTGCTGCACTTCAACTTGTCACTTTACAGGGTGCTAAATTAAGCAGCACGAGACGTTTTAAGCAGACATCTGTTTCAAGTGCGACAGCCCAACCACATGGTTATGTATTAACTGGATACTGTCAAACTTTTGAGAATGAACAAATGCAACAGAGAAATACGCAGAAGTTGATGTATATCATCAGCCCAACAGGAGATGCTGGCCTTCACTTCAGGATCTTTTGCAGTCTCTATGGCCACTCTACAAACCATACCCAGAGAGCCTGTATGCAGTCATCCCATCTTTTTAAACTCTCCATTACTCCTTTGTTAAAACTGCAAACAAGCATCCTTATCATTTGTTTCATACAGCCTCTACTGCTTGAGAGGAGCATGGCACCTTCACACACAGGAGACAATCCTCCTTCCAATCCCTTTCTTTTTACAAGAAGTCCACAAAAATAGCCTGGCAGACACTGGACTTCCAAGACCACCACCCTACATGGACTTACTGCTTCCTTTTCTCTCACAGCTGCTTGTGACCGTCACTGCAAGGTTTTTTTTGGGCAGTAACAGTCTTCTGTTCCATGTTTTAAATCATGTAGATCAGTAGTTGATACAGGCAAATCAATAGCTTTTACATGTTTTTGATGTGTTTTTTAAATTATTTTGTTGTTTTAAGGATTTAAAGGAAATAGGTGATCCAAACATGGTACACAAGTAAGCTGGAGTCCCATATTTTGCCAGATGCATTCCCTAGCCTTTGCTGAATACTGGGACACTTCATTGTCTTTTAAAAATATGTTTTGTTTTGTTCAGAAATATTTCAACCAATGGAAGAATAATTTAATATAAAAGCCATAAATCTCCACCTTAAAGGAACCATTTTATAAAGGTTTTTTTGCCCTTCCCACTGTGTGGCAGATAAATCAAGAAAACTCAGATACATGAGAGCACAGGAAACAACAGAAATATTTTTGCAACACTGAAGTCCATTCTATTTCACTGGCATGTGTGCTGTTTTGAGAATGTTTTTTTAAAAAGCAGCTTCACACATTTACCAGTTTGCTATAGATACTTTCTTAATGACATCTCTCTCTACACATTTCTTTTTATTATTTGGCACAATAATGTACAGGAAAAAATGTTTTTTCGGTTTCAGTACCTATGAGACTTTTATGCATATTTTGATAGCTTCTATAGAGGCAAGCTGTTATTTCCTTGCTTACCATAATTCCAGTAGGCTAACTTTGAGGAGTCTTAAGAGATTTAACTTAAATGCTTACCTTAACTAGTGAAGACTCGAGCATCCCTGGCTGAGTATTCACTGAAGCTACCATGTTGGCCCTTGTCCTGTTAAAGCCCCGTGATGTCAGTAGTACCAGCTGTTTCCCAGACACAGAGCTTTTGTTTATAATGCCCTTCCCAAAAAGGGGACTTGACTGGTAAGCCCCGAGAATCCCCTTGCTCCCTTAACTCCTAGACTCTCCAATAACCCAAACATAGGTTCCCCATCGCTCCAATCCTGAGGGCAGCTTTACAGGAAACACCTCTGCAGCTGTTCCAAAGTCACTCATCGCTTGCTGTAGACAGCACAGTGACTACAACAACAGAACAGCCACATGCTAACCCCAATTCCTCCCTGACCCTCATTCTTCTTTTTTTCCCCCCTCCCTCCTCCTTGCCTTTTCTCCTCTCTCTTCTGGGGGAAATTCCAATCCTGCAAAGACCACAAACTAAGCTTGGAAAGAAATTACTTTATTTTTCCATTCTCATTTTTGACAGGTAAGTCCCATTTTGGTGCTAAAAGCCCTCAGTGCTTTCCCTCCCCAGGGCAGTCTGATACAGTAAAAGACAATCCAGCAATTTAAGAATGCACACAGTTCTTAGAATCAATTTGGACTTCATAAATCTTGGGCAATCATGTTTCCTGCATGATCACAATGTGTTTTAGGAGCTTCTGGACAGTGTAAGTTCACAATAAAATGTGACAAATTATAGTTGAAAATAGTGAGGAAATTTTTATCAAGAATTACTGAAAGGAAGTTTTACCCTCTGATATAAAGTAGGTATTTTACTTCCTATTACAGACAGCTCTCAAGAATGAAGCATTAAATACCCGCTAGCTGAATGCCACTACCAAAAGCTTCATATTGTAGGAGTTCTGAGTAAATCGAAATATTTACCGTATTTAAATCATTGTCTAAGGCAAAACAAACAGCTCAGAACCTCAAAAGCCACAGTCATCTTTTACTAATTTGACCCAAACTCACACACGAGCAAGTTTAATTAAGGAAATCTGCATGTGATCTTGGCAAACCTTAACTCATGTCCTGTAGTAAACTGTATTTCCACTTTCTGACATATTATAAATTTAATGAAGCTTTCTTTTAATCAGAATAGGTCTAAAAATAAAATAATTTATAATGAATGTCACCCAGAAAGTAGCTTCAAAGTTATTTCACTTTAAATATTTATTTTGTGTTTTCCTAGAATTTGCTTTAAAGTGCAGCAGGTTTATCAGCTCCTTGCACGCTACCGCCACACGAGGCTGACAATGGAATCCAAAGGTTTCAGCTACCCGTGGCGTTTGGAGGCAGATATGGGATTACAGGGTAAACTATTCCAGAGTAGCTGTGTTCTGATTTATTATGGCCAAGCCCTCATTTGTTTCTGTTTTAAAAAAATGTTAACAGTGATAACATTCAAACTGTTCATTTTACCTCAGACATGCTAACAAACAATCTGCAGACACAAATCGGTTGACTCCTTTGAGTCCTGCTGTTCTAGGCTGTCTACCAAATTCACACACTGGTTTATTCTAAAGTTCAATAACTAAAGGCAATCTTCAACACTGAAAAAAGAAAATTTTACTCACTTTCAGGGCATCCCCTTCACTGCCCTCCATTACTTCCAGAATAAGCGCAGCTAGGATGTTAAATCCTTGACAATAGCCAACAGATTTATTCCACCTGGCATAAGCCAGCAAAACGCGTTTTAGTACCACTCGATCTTGCTCTGCCTCCTGGCCACAGTAAGAACTGCAACCAGTCCGGTGAAGGTCCTTAAAGTAAAAAAAAAAATTAAAAAAAGACAGAAAAGACGTGCGTTTTCCTTCCCCCTTCAGTTCTCCTGCCTGTCCCGCTTCTCCTTCCACCTCCACCCACCCAACTCCTGAGGTTGATGACAATGTTTCCTTTTCAATCTGTAAACCTTTAGTTTACTGAAGAGAAACAGATCCAGCAAGCTCTTAAGTAAACAAGTTGCCTAAAAAGCTGTTCATATGAAGCTGTCACAGACCATATTAAGAGGTACCTACGTTTCAAAGAGGCAAGACATAACCGCTGCTTAATTGAACAAAAAAGAGCAACTGTTTCATCGAAGTATAAAAGAACTGCTAAGCAACTAAGTTTTCAAAACATTAAAAAAAACCTCCAGAAAGTGTTCTTGAGATTTAAGTGATCTATAAGTGAAAGGCAAAACATGAAAGACTAAAAATTGTAGTACATGACAATAGTAATAATCAGGAACACAAAGTATTTTGCTCCATGCATTCTAACTAAGGTGACTATAGAACACAACCTCTCCTAAATAGAGTAATAAACAGGTAAGTAGACTAATATTTAAGTTACCACAGCAATACAAATCTGTTAAGCTCTTCCCTAAAACTGCCCACTGCTTTAACAATTAAACATTAATCAGTTGAGAAATATACATAGGCAAAGGTGTTTCATTAGTGTAAAATAACTGAAGAATGCTTAATTATAAAACATACTTTTAAATCCCAGCAAACATTTGTGTTTGTTTATAGAGAACAGGAAAAAACCCACTTATGATCCTTTGCCTCCCTTAAACTCCAGTATTTCTTTTAAAATAAAAAGTAGAAACTGAGGGGGGAGAAAAAAAAAATTAAGTAATAGCAACTTTTTTTTTTCCCAGCTAACACTAAGCAGACGAGTGCAGAGGGACCAGGGATGCTGAAGAAATAATTTTGGTGGTACAAAGGGAACTAAGGTGTAATTGTTGCCAAAGCAGTTGGAGAGAATAAAACAAATCCAAATTCCATCTACTTTAAATAAATAAATAAATAGATAGATAGATAGATAAATAGATAAATAAGATACAAACTTTTCATTAAAAAATTAAAATAAAATAACAAATTAGCTGGCTACCTTTACTATTTGGATGCCCATAGAGTCATCATCAGGATTACTTCTTTCATTGAAAGTGAAACGCATGGTTTTATCCCAGTCGATGGCAATACTGTGCAAGTACTGATCAGCTAGGGTCAGCCAGACCTAGAAATACATAAAGCAAGTCAATTGCTTCCCAGATAAAATATTAACAGTTTTAATATATACTGTTACATGAACCTCGTCAGTTTCATCCATATGTGATCTGCTGTTAGACTCGAAATACGCAGAAGAGGACTATATCTAAAACAATTTTTGCACAATTAAAGTAATACCTTGCTCCCTGAAACAGGAAGGAAGGAAAGAGTTAGCATTAAGTGTCCTGATCTGTGAACTGCTTACAAAGATCCAAATCCATTGTCAGAAACTGAATCCACAGGTGCCCTCCAAGATGCAATCCCACCCTCCTGCAAGGACCCTTCTGGTCAGTTCAGCCCTTCTAACCTCGTAATCAGCAAGAAGTTTTATAGAAAGGTAACACTGCTGCAGGCTTTCCTCAAATTCAACCATGGATCTATCTCCTGGAAACCACCCAATGAAATCTAGTGGTTATCAGAGGTCTCTTCAGATGAACTTCACAACAAAGACAGCACCTAGTATTAACCATTTGGGATTGATCTGGAAGTATCACATGAATCAGAGAAACTTACTTTTACAGGAGGGCTTCCTAAACTATTGGTGCTACAGGGAGTTCTGAAAACAAACATTTTTACTGTTTTAAAGCCTAGTAATTACCAGGACAGACTCATGCATGTGTGACAAAGGCTGGACCTTTATTCAACATTTGAAAAGTTCCTGAACCATGAAAGACACATGACAGATCACACAACAAGAACAAGTAACAGTAAAGGAACTTCCTATTCAGGAAATTGAAAGAAATCACGAAAGCAAATTGGTCAAGTTTTATATCAGCCATCAACTCACTCAAGTGAGAAAAGCAATTCAGACACTTCCCACAGATTTAAACAGACAGTTGCATGATGAAGGAATTTATAGACAGCTCCCAGAACCTCCTATTCTCTGCCTTTAAATGTCTCTTCCCACTCTTCTGCAAAGTCACCCCTGCGGAGGAATGCTGCTGTTCTGCCTCCCAGCAGCCTTTGGCACTGCTGATACCCCACCAAAAAAACATCAGTTTTGGCTGTATTCTTTATCTCTGCCAGCCTCAGAAAACAAATGTCACATGCCACAGCAACAATGCAGATATCACACTGCTCCTTCTGCTGTCAGCAAAGGAGGCAATTAGCATGCTGCCAACACAAAATGCTTCCTTTATTTTGGTTATCAAACTTAAAATCACTGGGAAACAAGGGAATGGCAGTGAAAAGACCACATCCCTTTTCTTAACGCTCCTTCTTTGGTTAGCATCACATGGTCACATGTGAGCAAACACAGAGATGGGCAGAATGAGAAGGAAAATGTGACAGAGATCCAAGTTACATGATGAGGCAGAGCATAACCCCAGCAAGTCTGCTGATAACACAAAACTGGGAGGAGAGGCTGATAAGCCCAAGGGCACCTTAACAGGCTGGAAGAATGGGCTGACAAGAACCTCACAAATTCAACAAGAAGTGCAAAGACCTTCACTCGGGGAGGGACAACCCCAGGCACCTGTATACGCTGGGGACTGCCCAGCTGGAAATCATCTTTGCTTAGAGAGAGATGAGGGTCCTGGTGGATGCCAAGTTGACCACGAGGCAGCAATCTGCCCTTGCAGCAAAGAAGGCCAAAGGCCTCCCGGGCTGCCCCAGCCAGAACGTTGCCAGCAGGTTGAAGGAGGTGATCCTTCCCCTCTGCTCAGCACTGGTGAGACACAGCTGGAGTGCTGGGTCCAGTCCTGTGCTCCCCAGTACAAGGGAGATACAGAGCTACTGAAGAGAGTCCAGCAAGTGACCACTAAGAGGATTAAGGGACTGGAGCATCTCTCCTATGAGGAAAGGCTGAGAGAGCTGGGACCATTCAGCCTGGAGAAGAGAAGGCTCATGGGGACCTTGTCAATTTATAGAAATACCTAAAGGGAGTGTACAAAGAGGACAGAGCCAAGCTCTTCTCAATGGACCAGAGACAATGGGCGCAATCTGAAATACAGGAGGTTCCGTTCAAACATCAGGAAACATTTTTTTACTGTGAAGGTGACAGAGCACTGACACAGATTGCCAGAGAGGTTGTGGAATCTCCTTTCTTGGAGATATTCAAAAGCCATCTGGGCACAGTCCTGGGCAACCAGCTTGGGCAGGGGGGTTGGACAAGATGATCTCCAGAGGTCCCTTGCAACCTCAACCACTCTGTGATTCTGTGACCTCTGGTACTCATGTACCATAGAAAAGAGTCTGAGAGACCTGGAGTGTGGAAAAAGAATATTTCTGGAAAGAAAAAAGGCTGTTAGATAGATATAATAATTCACTGAAGTTGTATATTAAAAATAAAATCATAGTGCTGTAAGGAAAATGATGCCACTATAAGTCTTCGGTTTTCTTCCCCTCTGATAAAGTGGAACAGTTCAGTTTGGAAATACAGGGGAAAAAAAAAACAAAACAAAAGAACAGGAAAAGAAAATTAATCCGATGCTTCAAAAATATATGGAACTACAGATATTTTACAAAGCTTTGAAAATATTATTTTTATTAAAATTGCATTTTTAAAGTTGAGACTGTGTAACTCAGTTTTATAGAAAAGATGAAGAGACAGGCCTTTTTTTAGGCACTGAAACTTTAAACATTGTTGAAGAAAGCAATAAAGTTTAGCAAAATCCCACTAGACCCTTTCCTAAAACAGTCACTCAGTGCAATTTCCCATTAATGGAGCACTCTACCATTCTACATCACCCCTGCTTCTGAACTTCCCTAATTTAGGCAATCTGCCTTTTCCCCATCAAATGTTTCCATGAGCATTCTTGTCAGCACTAGCATGTATCAACTTCACCTTCCTAAGTATGACAGCCTGCACTGGAGATTTGCTCTCCTTTCAGCTGATCTTTGGCTGTGGGGGCACCTTCACCAATGCAATTCCCTGAGGCTGACAGAATGAAGCAATAACATCTGCACCAGAGTAAGTTACCTAAATCTCAAGCAGAAAGAGCTCGAATATTGCAAACACCATCTTTACCTGTCTCCTCAGTCTCTCCAGCTGCCCTGGGAGGTTATCACAGAAGAATGTAAACTAGGAAAAATTCCCAGTACAACTTAAGCGTAAAACTTCCAAATATTTATTAAAAAACATGGATAATATAGACCTAATTCACCTCTCCTGAGAAACCCACAGGCAATATGTCCCACAAAGTATACAGGTCTACATACCTTTCTCCGCCATTCTTTCGGTATGCCTGTCGGCAATCTGGCCACTGCTTTGAGCGCATCATGCCACTAAAAGCAAAAGCATCCAAAAATGTATAAAATCCACCGTTAGTTTAAGGCAACAGTACAGCAACATTTACAGCTCTGCAGACATGCACATTCATTTTGTTTTACTGCACATATTTCAGAGCTTAACTACTTAATCCACTTGCAGGGAAAATATAGATTAATTACTTAATGATATAACAAAAATATAATATTCTAGGACACAAGGACTTATGAGATATCTGAGTAAACAATGAAAGTCTATTGCATTTTCCAAACACTAATGGAACAGCTTTTGATGCAATTGCAAATAATATGCTGACATTATAATGACAGACGCACTTTTGAAGTAGGGCAAGTACTCTGACTGAAAAGAACCCTGTCCTTTATAAACTCAAGAGAAAAATAAATCAAATTACCTGCTGAAAACCATTTTGACCTAAAGATGGTTCAAGAGTGAATTTCAATTTTGTATCAACCCCTAGAAACAAAAATGAGAAAAATAATCATGGTCACTATTTTCATTTAGCTCAGAAGGAAAAAACAAAAAACACCCAAACCCATAATTGAAATAAGAACACAAGATTTCAGCTACATGTTTCAACAACTACATTTGAACCTGTTTCTGCAAATTCTTGTCTTCACAGTGGCTACAAGGCACGTGTTAAGTGCACAGCAAAACTGTTTTTAAAATGCAGTAATATCCTCTTTACTCTAATGATGTAGCTCAGCACAACTCATTTAACTAAAAATCATGCAGTTCATTATTCCAGAAACTATATTTGTATAGTGAAAACTATCATATGTATCCACAGGAAAAAATATATAGAGACACAAACAGTTTCTTTCCACCTATTTCTACTTGACGTTAAATCACACAAAACTCATTTCTAAGTTTGAGGTGCTAAAATTATTTTTTGTAATTTCTCAGCATATACAGCACATTTGGTCAGTAGTCTCATTTAAGCTTTGATTTTATTTTGCCCATATAGGCAAATGTATTTTAATTGTTATGAAGCATGCCTGCTAATAGTCTATAAAATAGAGTATTATATAAAACACTAGGATGTCAAGTTTGGCCCGCTGGATCCTGCTTGTGGCACCGGGGCATGCCGTAACTGGAAGCACAGGAATGCTTTTAATTGGCTTTATACCCCACACGTGCATGTGCCGCTCCCTGCCGCTGCGGAAGCCGCTGTCCAGAGCTCAGGTGCTGAACACCGCGACACTGCGACACGGCGCGTCCCCTCCCTCCCTCCAGGCCTCTGGCACAAAGGATAAAGCCTCTCTTCATTTTTCCTCCGGAATTTAATACGATGTATTGCTCCGTATTTAGTATCACATGATGAATAGCTTCTTGTCTTTCTCGAATATCAAGCCAAACATTTTAAATACATATTTTAGTAGCCGTACTAAAAAACCCGTCAGATTTTAATCCTGCAAGGTTTTAAGTATATAAAATCCATGCTAATCAACTCACCAGTAACACTCAGTTCTTTGGAGGACTAAGCCTGTGACTCTGACAGAACCCCAAACTGTAGTGGCATTTGCTAGATACTGAATATAAAACGCCTTTCATCATTTGCATACAGATAAGTAAATTAAAAACCTTACTGCGTGATATTTAAAGACAGAGCCTTCTCCTTCAAGTCTTCCCCCCATCCCTCCCCTTCTTGGTGAGGGGAAAGGGAAAAGAAAGAAAGAAAATTCACACAAAAGCCAGTATTGTTGTCAATTTTAGCATTTTAGAATTGCATCAGTGAGACCTGGGGATTGGTGCTTCAAATTTGAAAGACGTACTTGTCAGATTTAGAAAAATAAAAGTTTCAAACCATAATAGAAATGTCTTGAAAAACATTAAAAGGTTTAACAGTTATTCCTGGAAGTAACTGTTTATTAGCATTCTTCCCCATAACTCCATGGCATTCAGCAGGGATTCCTAATAGATGAATCTTTTCACAATGATTCAGAGCACTGTAACAATGCCAGTAACCTACTAAGATGAAATTGTATCGCATTTGCTGTAAATGCAGAAAAAGGGAGTCTTGTTCCCAAGCAATCTAGAGGTAAGTACCGGAAAACCCTAAGACATACAAAAAGATATCATGGCCAAGATCTCCTTGGTACATCTAAGGTAACAGATGTTGACATGTTATCAAACACTGCCTTGTAACAAAGGAGCAATAGCCTTCCAAAATAATCACGTATGCATTTCCAACTCAGCAGACAAATATTAAATCACTTGACAGTTTTCTAAGACTTAGGAGATCCCAGTAACAACTTCACTCTTTGTTCTTATAAATTTCATAAGAAAGATGCAAGCAGAGACAGCCAAATCTGCAAAAGATCAAGGACAATAGGATACAACCTCAGAATAACAGAAAACCATTTACATGAACATTGTGACTACGAAGCTCACAAAGGGGCCCAGATAGCTGCCTCTCTTGATTAAACAAGACTGAGAAGAGACCCTTGAATCTCCATTCAAAGTTTATTAAATCAGACAATTAAGACAGGTGTGAAAAATACTAGAAATGAGAATAACTTAATGTGGTAACACCAGACTACATGGCACTCTCTCTTCAGTATGGCAAGGAACCTCCTGGTCAGGCCATACACTGGTGGAAGCCATGGAGTCTGTGTCCTCTTATTTGTTACCAGTTAGAAACATTCTCAAAATCAAATTATGTGATGGTTTTGTGACAGGGGAGGGACAAATTCATGGGGAGTGAGACACAGACAATACAGGAATGGTTCCTCATTCCTATCCATTTTCAAGAATTTACCTTTCCTAAAACCAAAAATTTACAACCTTGTTCAATAAAAATACAGCAAGTAAGCAAGTAAAAAGAAGCTACAACACGAACAGTACAGACAGAGCAAGGAAGGCTATACCCACCCAGGAGCTCGCCAGGGCAGGAAGGCAACCAGCAAGCTGGGAGCAGCACTTCATTGCCTGTTACTTTCTGGCACAAGGACCATCTTGCTATGCGCAGTTTCTGCACTCTTCACTGAATTTGTCCTTGGACTTAAGAGCTTCAAGGAAATCAATGTCTATCCCTCTATTCCAACCTCTCTGGGTTTCCCAAGCCTTCCTACCTCCACCATTCCCATTTTCCTAGCAAACCTTCCACCCCTGCATATACTACTTTCCTCCCCCCTCCCCAGTCCTGTCATTCTCATCCCGCCAGCTTTTGCCTGAAGCACCACCAGCCTTTCCCCAGGGCCTCCTTCCACATACCACCTTTTCTCCCTTAAACATCCATCGTCTGCTACATCTTACCAGCAACTCCCTTTAAGTCTACATTCAGTTGCTTTCTCCCCACAAACTAACTTAGATTCCCCAAAACCTTTTCCCCCCTCTCAGAACCCCACACTTATTCAACCCTACCACAGACCTTCTGCACCCATTTTCACTGCATTTTCCACGTTTTGCCAATCCTCCACCTCTGGGCCACATCCCTCTCCATCACGTCAACACGTGCTCTTTGCAGAAAACACCCCCTGGGGCCTTAAGGGAACTTTTCTTCCCAGCTCCTCTGCACGGACAGCCCAGCAGAGATGTGCCATATAAACAGCAACTGTTCCTCCTCTCGGGGGCTGCAAGCGCTGTCAGTACAGCTCAGCCCTTTCACATCAAGCCAGCCAGGCTACGGTGTCATTTGACATATTAAGTATCACCTCCCGTTCATACACTTTCAACTGATGCTTGAGACTTTAAAAACACATTAACTCATGTAAACAGAAATGTGTTGGGAACACGTATGAATTATCAGCTCCACAAATAAAAACACAAAGGTACAAATGTTTGGCACCAGTCAAATTTCTGAAGGAGAGGGGAATGTCAATATAAGGCTTGTTCAATGTCCTTCTAACCAGGTCACAACAAAACACTGCGGAAAACCTATTTTAAAAAAAAAAGAAAAAAAAAAAAAAGAAAAAACCCCACAAAACCCAGTCCTGTTAATTTTTCCATGTAAAATATACAACAGCTCCTGACAACAAAAGGCTGTAAGAGGGAAGATTATACCCCTAGGATTCCCAAACCCTAGCAGTCTCACACTGCATCACCAAAATGTAGCACAGGACCACATAATGAGCCACAAGAGGGAAGAAAAATGTTGTGGTAAGCCAAGTACCTGGGTGAAGGAATCAAATCCCCACTCCTCAGCAACATTAAACAAAAAGATGGGTCAAATTCCGGGAATTTTTCCAAAATACTAAACCAGAAAAAGTGTAGGAAGATGATCTGTTCTGATGCACGTATGTGAGCCATTGCTGCAAACCACAAAGCACGTTCACTGCAGATTCCTGGCTGTACTTAAAAGCGGCTGTTGAAACCTCTCCCATGGAAAGCAAATAAATATTTTATCGAAAACAAACGAGGAAAAAGGCCTAAAGCAGCTTCATGTGCAGTAGGAGTCCAAACTTGGGGAAAAAAATGGCAACATAAACTACCACCTTATTGTTGCTTGTTGTTTCAGGAAGATTCTTAGTCTTGCCCTGTAATTTATCTCTAAATGTAGGTTTTCATCTGCAAAATGAGAAATGAAAGTAACATTCTGAGTAACCCTGCATGAAATCACCTTTGACAGGAGCCAGAGCTCACTGGGATGTATCAAAGCACATCTAAAATCTGCAGTCTACAGAAACGTCTTAATACAAACCAACAGCTGATACAGATACTAAGGAAATCTGAAGGAAGCTTATTCTGCTTATTTTTAAGGGCTCATTGGGTGCCTCCAATCACTCTATGAAAGCGTGCATCCTGAATAATGTCATTGCATTTACTTACATATGAACAATATGGAAATCCCAACCCAGTGGGATTTCCTAGCTTTAAGATTATGGCATTTGTGGTTACACCTCCAATCATCTCCCCCGATCTTTGTGGGAGTGTAAGTAAAAGAACGTCATTATCCAGATAACAGTTACCTGGGATATTAGAAGACTAATGGAGGAGCATGGGTCTGTGAGGATTATAAATCAGGAAGTCTTTGACAACAACCACCCCATCAACCTATACCAGAATATATCTGAGACCTTACTAATAACAGCACCTGAAACTCATCTCAAACACAGAAGCAGTCGGCATTGTGTGCTCGCTGCATGTACAAAGGGAAACCAAATCTTACGTATTTCTGTGCACTACTCTACGTTCCAGCAGACCTCAGGCTTGCGTGTTTTGTAAATGCCTAGGATTAGGCAACAGATCAACAACATTTTAGCTACAAGTGACAGCTCTAACATTGTAAATTGAATTTAAGTTTCTAGTACTGCATAAAAAATAAATGATGCAAAATTTTGATGGCAGGCAACTATAATCTAGCATTCAGTAACGATCACCCCTCAGTGCTGGTGCTGAGAGCCCACCTCCCTGGAGCAAACACACGTTGCTGACTGACTGCCTTGTCCTTAGAAGATTTTGGTACTGAAGCAGGATCCAGAAAAAATACCGGCCGAGCGAGCGATG